GGGATTCCCTGACGGTGCCTTTGTGGAGCCACCAGACCCGTGTGAATGTGCAAACACGGAGCGGAGCCGCCGGCGGCGCTTGTGCTGCTGCCAAAGCTGCTGCTGCTGCTGCCATCAGGGCTTCCCCAGCTCCCATCCCGGCAATGCCGGCGCTGCTCCAGCCTCGGGGCACTGGGACAGGGTGTGAGGAGGAGGACAGAGCACCCCGGGATCCATCAGCATCCTCCTCTCTTTGCTGCCGTCTGTGCCACAAGCAGCTCAGGGTCTGGCCATGCCCTCGGGCAGGGGTGATGCTGTTCCTGAGCCCTGGAAGGAGGATGCAGCTCTGGAATAACGCAAGGCCGGCTCCTGGTGCCCCTTGGAGCAGGACCCTGCTGCTGTCAATGGGGTGGTGGAGGCTGCAACCAAAGTGTCTTGTGTGGTTTGGGGGAACCTTCACAACCTGAGGGATGTGATGAGGAGCTGGGTTCTTGTGCTTTGCCCTTCCTCTGGCCTCACTCTGACAGCTCCACGTCCTTCCTTATGTTCTGCTTCTAGCATCCGTGTTCCTGTGGCATTCCATTGTCACCCTGGGATCCAATCCCTCCCCTTGTGGCAAGGAGAGCTCCGAGATCCTGGCTCCTGGGGGAGCTGGTGGAGGGTTCAGATGGTTTTGGTGCAAGTGGGGGACACTGGATGGATTTGTCCCTGTTGGCATCACCTTAAAGCCCTGTGGCCACCAGGACTGGAAGAGGAGCTGGCCCTGGAGGTGTTGCAGGAGGCTCTATGGCCTGTGGCTCCCGGAGGGATGAATCCTCTGTCTGAGGCCAGATTCCAAAGGCAGCCGTGGAGGGAAGAGGAGGATGGAGCAGCATTGAGCAGATGCACCACAACAAGAGCAGGTTTTCCCCCTCTAACAAAATCTGGAGCGAGTCTGGGGAGGAGGAGCTGGAAATTGGGCTCTGGGCATCCCAGACTGTGGAATCGCAGCTCATCTTGTGCAGCAGATGTCAGAGCCCATTTGGATGGGTTTGGAACCCACCTTGGCCAGGCTGTTCCATGTGGCAGGATGCGGCTGGGAGCGGAGCTGTGCAGCTCATGTGGAGGGAATGATTCAAACCCAGGCTCGGGGGAGATCCCTCCCCCTGGAAAACGTCTGTCAACAGGGAGAGGTTGGACCTTTATGGTGCTGGAACCAGCCTGAAGAGAAGGAGGAAAGAGACAAGAGGGTTTTGGACTGTGGATCAGTGGCCTTGGAGGGGTTTGAGCTCTGGGGGTTTCCTCCTTTGCTGCTTCTGCCCCACAGAAAGGCTTTTGCAGCCCTCTGGGGGGCTTGGGATGGACGTGCCCAAGAGGATCCTGCCTGGAAGCACCTCCTCCAGCTTTTGGCAGCCCTCAGCGAGCACTTTGCCCTGCTGAGGTTGGTGTTAGATGCACCGTGTCCTCCAGAAGCACTGCGGAGGCTGCGGTGCTGCTGCTTCCATGCTCCAGGTGATGAAGCAGCTCCTGGAAGGCAGAAGGGATGTAAAAGCCCCTGGAGATGCGTTGGAGCAGTTGGAGTTGGGACAACAGCGACTCGCAGCAGCCTAATCCCAGAACTGCAGCAGGAGCAGGACAAAGGCTCCGTTGACCAAGTGGAACCGGGATAACCGCCCCAGCTCAGGGATCCCAGCGGGAGACATGGCAGAGACATGTCCCCACGGCTCCACATCGACCCCGGGCATTGGAGAGCAGCAGAGCTTCACCGCAAGCGAAGAGCCTTTCCCCCGGGAATGCCTTTAATCCTGGTTGGAAGCATCTCTGGAAGTCGTGGCTGCTGGGAGCGGGCAGGGAGAGATTCACATCATTCCCAGTGCTGGTTCTCCTGGAGTTGAGTGTCCTTGGGAAGCCCCGACAGGCTCATCCCCCTCCAGAACCTCTTCGCTCCATCCCACTCCCTGCGGGAATTTGCATTAGGAGTGAAAGAAAGCATTTCCCATCACCATTCCAAGCGGGAAATGGGCTGGAGCCGCTTCCACCCCTCTCTTGATAACTGCAGTGGGAAGCCGGGCTGTGAAATCCAGCTGCATGGGCAGCATCCCACAGGATGGCCATGTCCCTGCCTTAAACAGGAGTGATTTGGGCTGAGAGAAGATGATGTGAAGCCCAGTGAGTGCAGAGCATTGGGCAGCAGTGTCCATGTTCTGTCCTTGTCCATGGATGCAGCGGAGCCCGTGTCCCCCTTGTCCCTGTTGTCCCATTAGCTCTGCTCACTGACACATCCCCTGTCCCGGAATAGCTGTCCTTGGGGGATACCTGATCCTGGGGCTGCTCTTCCCTGCCCTTGGCCTGAAGGAGGAAGCCTGAAGGAAGGAAAACATTCCCTAGTTGAGGAAGCACGGCCCAGTGTGGGCAGCAGAATATCCCCTTAGGAATGACACAGAGAGCAAGGCTGTGTCCCAATGGACTGTGGGTGCTCCTCCTGGCCATGGCCAATGGAGCATCCAGCCCATGGTGTGGGGCACTGGTGGGAGCCCCGGTTTGCTGGGGTGGTGGAGCAGAGCTTCCTGCATCCCAAAGTGTCTCCTGGTGCATCCCTGGATCCGCTCATGCCTGGTGGGCACCAACCAGCCTCCTGTATCTGAAGTGGGGCCAGATCCCAGTGGCAAACACAGGCTGGTGCGTGCCCCAGAGCAGGTCCCTGTTGTCCCCTTCTCCCTTTGTCCCCTCCATGCTGCCACCCAGAGCAGCGGAACCAGGGTGACCCATCCCCTGCCTCAGCCTGGACTTCCAGGGCTTGAGATCGGCTGGAAAACACCTTAGTCCCAAGCAAGCTGGAGCCCTCCGTGTCCCAGGGGCCTGGGGGCTGTTCCTTCCCTTGGGTGCTGGTGGATCCAGGCTCCCTCTCACCAATCCCCTCTGTGTCCAGAGAGCCAGCCCACGACATCGGATGAGACCGTGGTGGCCGGTGGTACCGTGGTCCTCAAGTGCCAAGTGGAGGATCCCGACGACTCCTCGCTGCAATGGTCCAATCCTGCCCAGCAGACCCTCTACTTCGGGGAGAAACGAGGTACGATTGGGATGGGAGAGGAGCCAGCTCTGGGACCATGGGGCAAAGTGGACCAGGGCTGGTGGTGATGGTGCTGAGGGTGATGTTTACCCTGTTTCCCACCTCCAGTGATGCCACACGAGCTGGCGGGGGGGGACGTGGTACCAACCTCTCACTCATCCCTTGTCCCTTTGCCCCAGCCCTGCGGGATAACAGGATCCAGCTGGAGAAATCCACCCCCAACGAGCTGACCATCAGCATCAGCGATGTGGTGCTGTCAGATGAGGGGGAATACACATGCTCCATCTTCACCATGCCCGTGCGGACCGCCAAGGCCCTGGTCACCGTGCTGGGTAAGGCTGCTGCCCATCCGCTGCCTCTTCTGCC